GCTTTTCATTATTACCATATTCTTCAGCAAATCATGGTAGAAATGAGATTTCTGAAGTAACTGGGAAGATAATTTATTATACTCTGTTATTGGACATATAACTACTTCAGTTTCGGCAAGGATAAAGGAATAATGAGTAATAGCTGTTTATTTTTGTGTATTTTGTTTGTTTTGCAGTTAATTGAGTTCTCTCTGGGCCTTTTCCCATAGGGGTCTAAATTTCACCTGTGGGGCTAAGATCCTGGCAGGCCTGAGACAGAAAGTAAGGAAAGAAAAATAATATAAAGCAGTGGTTTAAAAAATACGGTCCCCAGGCCAGTAGCATCAGCACCACTTGAGAGTTTGTTAGAAATGCAAATTCTTAAGCTTTACCTGAATCAGAAACTGGGGCTACAGCCCAGCAATCTGTGTTTTAACAAGCCCCTGTAAAGTTTGAGGACCACTGCTCTGGAGAATAGAGGAAAAGAAGGAGGAGGGAAAAAAATTTTATTAATAAAAAGGAAAATAAACTATATGTAGTGTTGAATAGTGAATGTCATTGACTTTTACCTCAAATTCTGCACTGATACTTGTTGCATATATCATCTGTTCTAAGTTCATTCTTAGTTCGTGTTATTCTCAGCTCCATAAGAAATAGCATTGTCTGTCTGTGTAGTCAAACTCCTCATTATTTCCTATCAGGGATAAAATTACAAAGCTGGTCTTCCTTGCACTTAACTTCTTATATCTGAATTTTTTCACTTGGTCATTTCTCATATATAATTGCTCAATATCCTCATGCTTTTCCTACCATTGCCTTTTTGTGCATCAAAATGTGGACCCCTTGCTTCATCCTCTTAACTCATTAATATAGTGCTGCTCATGGTAAGAAATTATCTCAAGGACATGGCAAATTGAAAGGGAGTTGATTTTTTTGTTTTGTTTTTGGTTTTTTGATTATATTTTTTGGTTACTGGTAAATGACAAACTGTGTGCATTTCTTTTTTCATGTGTGTATCCACGTCACTCAGAGTGAGGGTAAATAGATACTAGCTAAGGGACTGAGAAGATTTATAGTCTGCAAATCAGGGCATATTTTTGATAATCCTTAATCAGATGAACAGTTGTTAACGGAAGTATGCTGAGCCCTTGTCAACTTAAAAGCAAGTATAAAGAAAGAGCAGTACCATTATCTCTTCTTCCCACACACAGCTAGCCCTAACAGTGTCAAGGGAGCAGAAGTGAAGATTTTTTTACTATCTTTTATAACCCTGGGAATATTAAACCCAGCATTTCTCATTGTCTGGGAACTTGACCTCCCTTTTAACTGACTAATTATTATCTCCTTTTTTGGACACTAGAGGGCCTAAGACATGATGCACAGCTGTTTGGAATCTAAGCTTCTGAACCACATTGCTTTGATACAGTTCTTGGTGGAGAATTGTGTGTACTGCCTATATTCTTTGAATAATGCTGTTTTTGCTATTTCTGAACTTTTTGAGGGCTTGAGACATAGAACATTTTGTAAATTTAACTTTGTTCTTCAAATTGACCCTATTCATTCAATTCAGTGGCAGATAACAGAGCTAGTTAGGGCCAGAGATGCTTAAAATGAAAATACAGGGTATCCTAAAATTTTTATAAAATTTTGTAATGAATATTTTGTTAAATAAAGGTACATTTACAATTTCCCATTTTCCCTATGTGTGGAGACTTTTGGGACACCCTGTATTATTAATTCAATGTCTCAGTAGTAATTAGCATAGCTTCTACCTCAGCTATGAAACTAAGCTCTAATTACTGAAATATATACAAATTAAGTAACAATCCTGAGTAGCTTGAGGATAACTGAATATCATTTTTGCTTTAAATATTTGGTCATATGTTGTTTTAATACAGAGAACCCCATGATACTAATATAGATTCATATATTTTATAGTTTTTTAGAATTTCATTAATTTTAAATTATTTGAAGACAAATATCTAGAAGTATCACTTTCAGATATTTTCACTGAAATAATAAATCTTTTTGGAATTTTAAAAAATACATTAAAATACCTAAATACATATAGATTATATTGTATATATTTTATTTTTTAAATTCCTGTTTTCTTTTTTATATTTGCAATAAATTAACAGTTTTAAAAATGGGAAAATCATAGTATTTTTGTTGAAACTTTTCAAGTTCCAAATATATGTTGCTTTTCCTTCCTTATTTTTAAAAAAATTTTTGATAAGGTGTCCATTCCGTTTTTTTCCAGTCAGAAATACCCTTCATATGCCATGATTGTAAAAGCCTCAGAACTATTCACAGCTTAATTTTTTTAGTTCAAGTTCTGATAATCTTTCCAAAGAATTTATTATATATAAGTAAAGTTTTAGGCTAAAAAATATTCATAGAAGTATCTCATGGCAATGTCAAGCTAATTATCTTAAACTGATTATAATGGACTATTATGCAGCCTTTGAAACCTTTTCTTAGAATTTTTTAAAACTCAGAAATATATCTACTAAATAAAGCAGCACAGAAAACTGCATATTAATGTGTAACAGATATGTATTTTACATATTACATATATAAAAACCAAACATATAGAAATATACTGAAAGGAAATAAACCAGAATATTAATGGTTGTTATACCCATGAGGTGGGATTATGGATAATTTGTTTCTTTTTATACTTTTTTTATTATGTTTTCTGTAATGAGTATATGTTACTCATTATAAAACATTCTAATTTGTAATTAGAAAAATTAAGACAAATAAATTGTAACCTAAAAAGTAGGAATTCTCAAAGAATGAAAGGATATATAATGTTTATGTTAAGGGAATAAATATAGAAATGATATTATTGTTCAGTTTTCAGGAAGTATGTGGAAGACTTGTCATCCAAAACAGAAAACAAATTTTTTTCTCATTCCTATGACTCTGGAAAGAAAAACTATACATTTTTTTATATTCAGCCTCAAATTGCTTTAGCATGTATATGATTGTCCCAGAGTAATCACTCTTATGTTTAATTTTTAGTTCTGTGCTTGATTCTACTCCTTACTCCCTTATCTCATAGCCATTTTAGTTACTTCTCTTACACATATGTTTAGTTTTATGATTTTGAAATCTAAACAATTTTTATTCTAAGATTTGATTTTATATAAATATGAATGATACCTGGATTCGAAGAAATTATTGTGCTTTTCTCCCCCTTCATTTCCCTTTTCAGTCAGGGTGAAGCAACACTTGATTTAACATGGTGTGTGGTAAAGTTAGATAAATTAAGTTTGAGTCCTAGCCATAAGTTACCAGTTACTAGCTTTAAACTTTGAACATGATATTAACATCTCTAAACCTTAACATCTTTTTATAAAAATGTAATAATAACACATAATCAATACAATAATAGTATTATCAGGATCTTATGGGATGGTATGTATAAAGTACTGTCACAGTACCTTGCACGTAGTGTTTAATTATTGATAATTATTATTGTTACACTTTTATCTCTATCATCTTACTCAAGAACTTCTTTCCTTAGATTATTTAACACTATTATTGCATGTGTTAATATTGCGTAAAGTCCTAAATACTTTTATTTTCCTATTTTTCCCAATAGCTAAAAAAGGAAGTAGAGATGAAAGGCGTGTGGTCCATGCCATCAAAATACCATGAAGAAGGAGTTTATCACGTTCGGTACAGTTTCATTAAAGAAGCTGAACACCACTGCTTATTACATAGCCCGATTCCTGTGAACTGCCCTATAAGATTGCTCCATGGCATGAAGGATGACATTGTACCTTGGCATACATCCATGCAGGTCGCTGACCGAGTGGTCAGCACAGATGTAGATGTCATTCTCCGAAAACATAGTGATCACCGAATGAAGGAAAAAGCAGACATTCAACTTCTTGTTTACACTATTGATGACTTAATTGACAAGCTTTCAACTAGTTAACTAGTGTCACATTTTTAATTGGTACATAAACTAATGTATCCAGAAGATTAGAAGAGGGATAAAAGATGAAAAGATCCTTATACTTGGGTTTTTCCTCTCTTACCTCTATTTTGTAAATATCAGATGAGTATTTATTTAATGATGTATTTGCACAAGTAATGTAAATTGTGTAGAAAGTACCAGCTGCTGTTTAGGAAATTTTCTCCTTCAATCCTTGATTTTTTTTCATTAAAATATTTATTTTTTTATTCAAGAAAGATTTACCTTTCTTATGTTAGTTATGCCAGCTCTTACTTGCATTCTCTTCTACTTAGAATTATCAATAAAGCTTGAATTTTTTGTTTGTTATAGATGGAAATTTGTAAAAATTACTTCTGATTTTAAAATGCAAGTCACAAAATATAGGAAAATATTTATAGAAATAAATATGAAATGATTGGAGAAATGTCTGAAGCATAATAAAGTTCAAAAACTAAGGATACTACTTTATATATTATATACTGCACATTATATTCAGACTTATAAGAGATATTTTTTGGCTTATATGTTATATATTTAAATGAGGACTTTCATCTTAACGAGATAGCATTTTTATATTCTGATAAGTAAAACTAAAGAGAAAATTGGTCTTTATATTATATATTATTGCCCACTTGAAGAAACTTTTTTTAATTAATATTGACCTGAGTACAAGTAGCTAAGTGATTGCCACCCAAATCAGAGGGCTTTCTGTAGAGTCAGTAAGAAAATATGAAACACAAGTATAAGGGGTTATTTTTTTAACTAAATGAGCTTGTGCAGTAATCAGCCTTAATATTGAGTTGGTGTTTTTTAAGCTATTAATTTTGGCTGTACTTTAGCCTGCTTAGGTTTTGTCTGTCAAAGTAGAACTTTTGGCAAATTAACACCATGACACATATATATATATGTATGTGTGTGTGTGCGTGTGTGTATAAAATGAGCATGTGTCAAAGACTTATTTAACTCATTAATGAGGAAAGATAGTAAGCCTGGTTCAAAGAATAATTCAAGAAACAGTAGTTATAGGTATTGAAGAAAAAATGTTGGGACAAAGTTGTTGTGGAGAAAAAAGTGTTAATATCACAGGCATGGCTACTTAGAGAGACTTGCTTTAGAACACTGGCCCTTGGCTGGCATCTGGGAACTTGGATTTCAGAGTTCTTCCACCATTCTAAGAACTGATAAAAGTAGCTCATATGCCTAAACTATACAAACTGTGGTTTGTGCTGAACACCTACTTTCCTTGTGGGAGTCTGGAATTTTGGTATGTGCCAGGCAAAGACTGCTTATGTGACCAGCTCCTGGTAAAAATCCTGGGCAATCAATCTAACAAGCTTCCCCGGTAGGTAGCATTTCATGTGTGCTGTTAAAACTCATTGCTGGGAGAATTAAGCCCATCCTGTGTGACTCCACTGGGAGAGTATTCTTGGAAGCTTGGCTTTGGTTTCCCCTAACTTTACCCCATGTGCCTTTTTCCTTTGCTGATTCTGCTTTGTATCCTTTAATTATAATAAATCGTAGCCTATATGATGAATCCTGTGAATCCTCCTAGCAAATCTTCAAACCGGGGGGTGGTCTTGGGCCCCCTGATAAAGATACAAAACTGGTAAGTGTCCTATAGCAGCGGTCCCCAACCTTTTTGGCACCCAGGACCAGTTTCATTTTTTCCACAGAGGGAGGCAGGGTAGTGGAGGGGTGGGGGGTGGTGGAACTCTGTGGCCCAGTTCCTAACAGGCTGCAGATCAGTACTGGTCCACGGCCTGGGGGTTGGAGACCCCAGTCCTATAGCAATTAAACTACAATCCTTGGGTTATTTTTTATACTAGGCAAAGATCACTTGCAAATCAAAAAGGTTATCTGTATGTGCCACAGTGCCTGGTGCTGCAATGGGTTGATGGACGGTGACACTGGCTATTCAAGGACCTATTTTGCCCACAGACATTGCTAGGCGTGAGGCTTGTTAGGAAGATGAGGAATGGCCCCTGCACATAAGAGTTTTCTGAGGTTAAACATAATAAAATACAATAAATGTGATTAGAGATTCATAACATATATGTAGAGGCAGTATAGTATGTATGGTGGTTAAGGGCAGAGACAGGAGCTTGGGTTTGAATCCTGGCTCACTGTTTATTTGCTCTGCGACTTTGAGCAATTTAACCTTTCTGAGCCTCAGTTTCCTCATCTGTAAAACGACAAAAACCTAGATAATAAGGTGTAAGAATTAAATAAGCACAACACATTTAGAACAATGACAGGTTGTACCTTTTTGCTTTGTTTAAAGTTATGTACAGAGCATTGTCTAGTGAGAAATTCATGGGCATAATCCATGGTGGAATAGCAAGGAAAGTGGAGGCAAGGAAGTGGGCAGGGCTTCTAAAGCCCAGCTGGATTTGACCTTAACCTCAAGATTCCAAATAGGAACGTTTTATGGTGGTGTTTCAAATGTTCAACAGTTAAAAAAATATTAACAATAAAGATAGGAAAAGCTGTTTTAAAATTTAATCTAGCCTTCCAAAGATTAACTCACAAATGCCAGTGAGTTTGAATCCATGAGATTTCATGTATTCTAGTGAACTGTTAATTACTTTAGTGTTTGTTCTATGTTTCCCCGAAGCTCTTTTTTTTTTCTATTTTCTGAAACAACTCCATGCCATGTATTCAGTGACATGGAAAATACCTGAATAGCCAGCAGCTCTTGAGTGCCTCATCTTCTGGAACTCCTGCCTTATTTTAAAAGTGACCTGACCTCCCTAAGAATCTCAGCATGTGCAACAGAAAGGGATAAGGCAAATAGCAACAAAAGAGGAACAAGTGAAGCCGCATAATGTATTTTGCTTTTGCTGCATCTGTTGACATTTGAGGCATTTACAGACACGAATCTAAACACTGTACCATTCTCGGAGCAGCCAATAGAAAGGTCTGTGTGGATGAGGGGAAGAAAAGAGCTCTGGGAAAGGCTGAGCTTTATAAAGCATGGAGATAAAGATCTGAGAAAACATTACTCACCACATAACTATTCCCAGGACAGACCTCAAAGTGAATATGTCAAATGATCATTAAATTTGGAACACTTAAAAAAAAAATCTAAAGAACTCTTATTATCTGGAGGACAGAAGAAGGTGGGTGGTATTTAAACATACCTTTTTAAGATCTCCTTTAAATACAGATCTCAAGGAAATTCTTAGTTTAGAAACAATTGTGTAGTTATGTGTAACTTGGTTTGATGAAAAAATGTGATGCTGTGGTATATTTAGAGAATATACTAGGAAAATGCAGGTGATTTTTTGAACCAAATGTGTCTTTTGGGGGAAATATCCTTTCCTATTTTGTCTTCTTCTTTTGCTGGGCTTTCAGGTTTTGCTGATAGATGAACTTTCTTCTACTGAAAAAGCAGCTCAAAATTTCAGTTTCTCTCAGAAGCCTTTCCTGACTCATACCCATCTCTTTTTCCAGGAAGTTTGTCGCTGGGTCCTCTGTGCTCTCTCATGAACAGCACTCTGTCCATGCCTTTTTGATAGAACTTACTGCTTTGAAATTCTCAGGTGATAGGCTAGCTTCCCTCTCCCAAGATTATTGAGTTCATGAGCTTTGTTTTGACATGGTTTATCCTCAGACATCTCTGATGTACTACATCAACTCCTTTCTTGGCTTCACCTCTTTGCCCATCTCATAATGATAATATTCCCTTGAGTTCTGGCCTTGGCAGTCTTCTCAGGCTATTCACTTACTCATCTGGAGCAACATCACCCATATTCATGGTTTTAACTACCACCTGCATGCAGACAATTCAAGTACATTCCTACAGTCTGGACTTCTCTCTTGAGCTCCAGACCCATAAAACCAACTGCCTAGTAAACTGGGATGTATCATTGGCTTCCCAAATGCAGTGAATCCAAACCTTTTTATGTTTTCCCCTTTATGTACCTTCCCACCTACAAGTCCTCTTACAATAAATGCTGCCGTCAGTACTTCTATTATACAAGCCAAAATTTGTGAGTCATTCTGACTGTCTCTTTTTCCTTCACCTAATTCAGACTAATGGTCCTCTTTCCCTGTGAGAAAACTCAAACACTTTTGCATGATATATAAGTCCATGCAAGACTGGCAAATATTTAACAGCTGGCTTTTGGGGGTAAGGAGAGGCCCTGATTTGTAGCATTTGCCAACATTCATGACATAAATTCTCCAGTCATGGCTGGCTTCGAACTACCACCATGACATCTCTGAATATGAAGCTGGGAAGAAATGCCCAGTAGCATACCATTACATAGTGTTTATACCACATAGAGATAATAAAAGCAAATATCCTCAAGAACATAGGTAATAGTAAAATGTAGCAAAATAAATTAGGAAGTGATTTGTCTTGAATATTTAACCTTTGTAACATAATTTATTTAAAAGTAAGTTAATATAATTTAATTGCTAATAATGGCTAATTTTAATAACCACTCTGAAAATTTCTGAAAATTAAACCACGAGCACTTGCAAGCACACCGCTTTATGATTTGGAGCCTGCCTGACATTCCAGTATCATTTTTCCTTCTGTATGTCTCTTTCCTTTAACCTCTCTCTATGCTTTGTTGATAATAGATTTTTACCTTCTTAAATAAGCTGCCTTTGCCAGTAACATTCCTTACCCCTTTTGCCTCACCCTAGCCACCCTGGCAAACAGCTATTCATCTTTTAAGACTTAAGGTCTAAAGTCATCTCATTTATAAACCTTTCCCCTAATTCCCTAACCCCTTCCTCTAGGAATAATTGTACCAATCTGAGTACCTTGTGCATAATTTTAACATGACATCTGTCTGGCATTTATTGTTTACAAATTTAACTTAGCTACTAAACCAAGTTACCATTTATCATTCATTTTTGTATCTCAGATGCAAATATAGGCCCTTAAAAAGTTGTTCAAAAAATTAACTATAATATTAATACTAGCAAATGCAGGGTTGAGTCGATTTCCACTGTCTCTCTACACCCCTCTGCCGCACCCCAGGAGATCCAATGTTTTTTCTCTAAAGATGACTCTAGATTTCTGGACTTCTAACCTATCTATGCCTTACTGTGGCTTCTCTTTGCCACTGTATCCTCTCCAGATGCATAGGCTCAATCATTCACTTAAAGCACAACAGCTACTCTTACAGCAGGAGGGAATCATTGGGTACAAAATATCTGCAAAACACAGTCCTAAAAAAAAAAAAAAAAAAAAAGGAAGGCAAATGTACATCTTTAAATTTGTTCCTAGCTTTATATTTCAAACCAACATCTTCCTTAGAGCAAATCCAGCCACAGACACAGTGACATCTTTCTGTCTAGGCTTCTGTTTCCTTGGTCTCAGGTGAAACTGACCTTATTGCTGCCACTCAAGATGCAACTAGGTATTTCCATAATTCTGCTGTCAATTTTCTGCTCTAAACTCTTCCCCTGAGCTCTGAGTCGCTGTCTTCAGAGCTTCTTCAACTGACAATTCCAGGCAACATCAAGACCTGCATTAGTCAGCCCTTCCACTTGACTCTTTCTAAACCTGCTGTTCTCCTAAAAGCTCCTGGTTCTCTCTCTTTCACAGAGTTCTCTCTCCCAGGCCTTCAACTACTGACCACTAAGTCTTTTCTCAAGCAAACCACCCACATATTTCCTAATTTTCATTAGCCCAGGCCCCAGCTGGCAGAAGATTTTTCTCAAAATGTATTGAGAAGTCATTTCCTGCATAGCTTCTAATCAATTTCCCATGGGGACAAAAATCACCATCCCATGTACTAGAATTGTTTTATCTAATGTGCTTGAATCAACTTATCAATCTGTTCTAGAGGCAAGAGTTATATTTTACTCCTCTCTGGTCCAGTCTTTGGCACAGTTAAGCACTCAATAAATATTGTTGAATGAAGAAACTAACCAAAGAACAAGTATCTGGGTGTTTTTCTTATGAAAAGTACCCAGAGATTTACACGACACCAATGAGACTCAGTCTTAACCCCCAAGTGGCTTACACTCTAGGGGTACAAACTGCCAAGCCCTTTTTCTATTAGAAAAATTTCAGGCCAACTTAGATCTGGTGATTTCTCCTGAGGTCTTGTTTGCTCCCGCCAAATATTCTGTTACTACTGACAGTATGTCAGTTGTGCCTTCTGGTCCTTAATTGAAACAAACGCATGAAGTCTTTACACTCTAAGAAAACCTTTCACTCCAAGAGTTCTTAGTACATTGAGTTTTGTTTAATTTATAAAAGTTTCTCTTAGTGTCTTTTGGTTAAAAACAGCATTAGAAAGGTATATCCCTTGAATAAGTCAAACTGAGGCACAGTAGTTTCCCACCAGGATAGAAGTTTCTGGATGAAGCTGGGCTGGCAGCTGAACAAGTAAATGACGGCAGCTCTCAATTGTACTCGGGGCAGGGGAAAGTGGTTTGGCTACTCCTGACAGATGGACAGTTGGCAGAACAGACCCCTCCCCGCTTCATCCCCTTGGGCAGCTGTGAACTGCCCTTGTATACAAGGGGCTGGCTCCCCAGAGCATGGAAAGAATTGTGCAGCTGAGAAAGCAGCTCCCGGTGGGAGGAAGGCAGGGGGGTTGACTGACACAGGGGAGGGCTGGCTTTTTGGAGGGCTCTTAGCAACGGCCCTAGTTTGCCCCTCCCCAGCCATGAGAAAATCAAATCCCTGTGCCGTTCTTCTAGGCACACTGTAGCAGCGGCAGCTGAACGTCAGGGTAGCTTCCTCCCCGCCTGTTAATTACGTGCTCTTTCCAATCCCACAGTCCCTGCCCTTGGAAAGTGCTGCTGGGGCGGGGGGAGAAGAAGACGACCACCACCCCTCCTCCGTGCCGCCTGGGGGTTCGGGCTGGATTGCGAGTCACTGGACAACATTTCGTCTCATTGATAGGCGGCACCCGGAGCGGGGTTCCAGCCCCAGGGACCGGCCGGGTTTTATTCTGGAGTCACTGGTGCGTGGCTGCGCCTTCCTTTCCCGTTTGTAGGTGAAACCCCATTGGCTTCATTGGCTCCTTGATTTAAACCACGCCCGGCTTTCTGCCCGCTTTGCCGCTGCGGGGCCAGGCCGCCCAGCCACATCCCAGCCCCGCGTGCAGGGAGCTCGGGGCTGCTGCTGCTATTGTGTGGATGCCGCGCGTGTCCTCTCTTCTTTCCAGAGATGGCTAACAGGGGCCCGAGCTACGGCTTAAGCCGAGAGGTGCAGGAGAAGATCGAGCAGAAGTATGATGCAGACCTGGAGAACAAGCTGGTGGACTGGATCGTCCTGCAGTGCGCCGAGGACATAGAGCACCCGCCCCCCGGCAGGGCCCATTTTCAGAAATGGCTAATGGACGGGACGGTAAGGCCGGCGGCGATCTGGGTTGCGGGGCGGTGGGCAGGGGCACCCTCCAGGGCCCTTTCTTTTGACGTGAGGCTGCGCTAGGAGCTGCCGTTGCCAAGCTCTGTGTCTCACCGGGAGGGATGGGAATGCCTTTATTTCTTCTGGGTTGGAAGATCTGGGCTCCCCGTACAATTCCCTAGCTAGCTTAGAGGATTCTCCACCCATCACAGCTTCCTTTTGAGCTGTCTGCAAATTCCAGGCCCTTTTGATTTTTCCAATGAGAATAGAGATAAGTATTTCCTTGTGATGTCCCCAGCCGCCTTGGTGCAGCAGCTCTTCTGGGGCCATTTCTTTCCCCGGGGGAATCGGTTGGTTATACAGTAAAACAAAGGAAGGCGGAGGGGGGCTGGCCACCTTCCCGTTCTTCCTGGAGCCGTGCGTCCTGGAGATGCTCAATGTCTGTTTGTTGAGTGGATGTGTTGTCATGAAACTGAAGGGCGTCCTCATTTGATAACTACTTTTCGGGCTAGATGCTCGTGTGTTTGAGGATTTGAGGACCACAGACAGGCTCTGCTGATTCAAACAAGCCTATCTTTGCCCGCAGCTGGTGATTTACTGTTACATAACTGCCATCCCACGCTGTGCTGGGTTGCCCAGGACTTGGGTCATAGGTGTCTGGGAAGAGGGTGCCCAGCTCACTTTTACACATCATTAACACATATGGGATGAATTATTGAAGCCTGATCTCCTTTTGATAGAAAAAATAATATTAGGCTCTATCATTTCAGCTACCCCCCAACGCCCCCCACCACCACCACTCCCAGGAGCCCCTAACTCATTCCCCCACTGAAAGCCTGGAATCATGTCCTCATCACCTTGCGTCATTCCCTATCTGTAAACATTCTTTCCCTCACCCAGAAAAAGGAAGGGAGGAACAAGGAGGGAATGGGGTTCCCGGACTGCAGGACTCTCTGGGGCTAGGAGCAGCCCTGGGAGTGGGGTTGTCTGAGTGTTTGGGGTTCATTATGAGAGCCTGGCCACACAGCCCCGAGCCCATTCCTTCCTGGGGCCCATGACCTGGTCCTGCCCAAACCCTGCATGCTGTGCCCTGCAGGGGGGCAGGGTTCACTTCTCAATTTTGACCTGTAAATACAAAGGGAATATTGATTCTGTCCCTCCTCCCCCTGCAGGTCCTGTGCAAATTGATAAACAGTTTATACCCCCCAGGACAAGAGCCCATTCCCAAGATCTCAGAGTCAAAGATGGCTTTTAAGCAGATGGAACAAATCTCCCAGTTCCTAAAAGCTGCGGAGATCTACGGCGTCAGGACCACTGACATTTTTCAGACGGTGGATCTCTGGGAAGGTAAACAGCCCTCCTGCCTTTAGGATTGTTCTACTTCCCCCTCCCCTTTGCCCCATCTCTTTGTGAAAACCACTCCCAGTGTTCTTCCCCGTGCCTTGTGTGTCGGGCGTTCTCAGCTGTCATTCTGGGGGCACTGTTAGCGTCCCCATTTGTGATGTTCTGTTAACATGTTCTCTTCTAAGGGAACACACACCCTGAGGAGACAGCAGGGACCTCAGCAAAGTAATATGTAAACAGAAGCCTCAACTGAGAGGAGCTAAAATGGTTACATGGATGCCTTTTATTCCCGTTACCCCTCGAATAACAAATCATAGCTAGCAGAGGAGAAGCGAGGCAGGGGGTGAGTGTGCTTCTGACTCAACTGCAGCCCGGCTTAGAGAGAGAGCCGTCTGGTGCTATGTTGTCAGTCAATGGGAGAAATAAATAGCTCTTCAACCTTTTATTAAACAACTGTCTGGGAGCTTGGGTACTATACCTTCCAGATATGTATTCAGCTCAAAGAGCGGGACGAATGATTTCTTTTTTTCACATTTGTGAATTGACTTGGTGAGGAAATCTTACAAAGCCATAAAAATCAAATCACATTTCTGGACATATTTAATAATCACCATTACTGGGGAAAAATGATGCGAATGGAGACCCAGTTAGAGGATTGGGGACGTATGGTCACAGTGTCTTTTTTAGTGAAAATGTGCTTCCCCACCATGCGCCTGTTTTCCTTCTTGACTAGGCCTGAGGCACTGAGAGATGGACTAGTCCAACCAGGGCTGCCAGATTGACTCTACTCTCACATGTTCACTGTCACTAGTTGTCATCAGTGGCCCAACCAATAAGATCCCCATGGCAGTGACCCAAATGGTGACAGTGAGAATGGGGTAACTTTCTTCTGATCCAGGGACGTGGTATTTTAAGGGGTATCCAGATGATGGTTGAAATAGATTTCTAGTACATTCTGCTACTCATTATACTGCAATTTATGAAGAAACAGTTACCTCCTTAATCCTCACAATTGCTTCCTTAATCCTCTGTGTCATGGAAAGAGCTGGCATTTCATGTTTCCCTCCTACATGATTAGTTAAAATCCTAAGATGCCAATGAGTGAGTTTACCTTGTGGTTTGCCATTATTTAGAAACTTAGATATCCAAAACTTTAGGCCAGGCCATTGAATGTCATGGACACTTGCCTCCAAATTCCCGTGTAGTGTCACAGGTAAGACTTGATCTCTGCTTCCTAGACCAAAACTCCAGTGATTTTCCCCAGCTAATGAAGAAGAGCTACTGCTTATTGATGTCTTCCTATACACTAGACTTTGTACAAGTGCTTTACTCATAATGCCAATCAATTCTCCTAACAATCCTATGAGGTAAGTGTTTCTAATTTTTCCATTTCACAGATGATGAAACTGAAGCTTCCCCATGGTTGCTTGCAACCATGAGATAACTAGCACTTAGCAGAGCCAGGACTCAAACCTGGGCTCTCTGATGCCAAGCAAATAGGGCCTTAACTAGTCTGCCAGCCCAGTCTTTTACCAGGAGGCTTAGTTTTCTTCACCTGTACGATGAGTGTGCTGTTGAGTCATAATGGTGACTAGCTGATGAGGATGAAGGGAGGAGAAGGAGGATGGAGGGCTGTGTGGGACAGAGGACAAGGGAGTTAGTGTGAATGGAAGGGACTCTGGTGAGGCCTCCCAAGTGCAGGAAGTAGGTGGGAGGAGGAGGAAGCCAGGAGGTCTGTGGGAGCTGGGGATCCCAAGGGAACTTTCCTGTCTTTTTGCTACTGAGGATGTTTTACTTGTCTTTCCTTCTTTTCACAAAGACCACAGAGGTGAATTTCACTCCTCGGAGGTACTCACAGCAAGTGGGAGGAGTGTAGGAAGCAGTGGTCCCTGATGGAAAGAGCAGGTGGAGGTCTATACCCCCTGCCCCAGTCCTGTGTATTAGATCCCTCCTAAGGAAGAGGGAGGACAGGAGGGATGAGTGTGACTTCAGGCGCTTGAGATAGGGCAATGGACCGACAAGTCAGCTCTAAGGCAGGATGATGCTCCTGGAAAAGAGGAAAAAGCCAGACACTGAGAGTCCCACCCCAGGGCAGAAGGGTGGAACTTTAAAGAAAACAAGGAAGAAGACCCACTCCTAGGGCGCTGTGACTGACAGGTAGCAGGAAGAACTCTAGGTAGGTCGTGCAATAGGTAGGGATAAACAGGAGAGCTGTCAACAGGGAAGCAGATGCTTAAGAGTTTCCAAATGTCCCCTAAAGGCTCCAGGGCCTGGTGGGCCCTGCTATGGAACTGCAGCTGAGGACTGAGGTCCAGGAGATTCATTGTGAGTTGGAGGGGACACTTGATATTCCCCAGGGTCACTGTCTGAAGCTCAGGCCAGAGCTGATTACCATACAGTGGAGCAGGAGCTGGAAGAGTGGGTTGCTCCGAGCAGAGAAGCGGGGATGGGGAGGGGCAGGCTGGTGGTACCAAGCGTGGACTGAGCAAACAAGGCCAGATCCTTCCTGCAGGAGCTGGTTGTCACTTGTGTTTTGGGATGAGTAAGCTGGAATCAAAGGGACATTGCAGGCAGGGTTGGCATGTGTTTGTGTGTCTGTGTGTCTATGTGCATGTGAGGCTGTACGTGTCTGTGCACACAGCTATTGGACTAACCATTTGCTCAGCTTAGTCGTATATTCTCCCTCCTATTCTCCACCCTGACTGTGGTGTCGGTACTGTCCCCATGTATCAGCTTACTCACATTAACTCCGGGTTCCCTGCACTGTGGTTGTGGTGGCTGTGGCTGCTGGCTCCAGCCCTCCTCACCTAGGAGCTTTTCTTCCTCCTCTGCAGGTGTTTTAGGTCCGGCAGCTCTCAGTCCCCATCTCCCCTGCTCAGCATCTCCTCCCAGGTGGGGCTCTGCTTGCTCCCCGCTGCCTTTATGCTGCAGACCAGCAAAGCTGGAGGAGCCCAGGCGTGCCAGTGCCTTCTTGTGTGGGCTTCAATTATTTCTACAGGTTGGGGCTCCAGACATATCCACTATTCTTTTTTTTTTTTTTTTTGAGACAGAGTCTCACTTTGTTGCCCTGGCTAGAGTGAATGCCGTGGCGTCAGCCTAGCTCACAGCAACCTCCAACTCCTGGGCTCAAGCAATCCTACTGCCTCAGCCTCCCGAGTAGCTGGGACTACAGGCATGCGCCACCATGCCCGGCTAATTTTTTCTATGTATTTTTAGCTGTCCAATTAATTTCTTTCTGTTTTTGGTAGAGACGGGGTCTCGCTCTTGCCCAGGCTGGTCTCGAACTCCTGAGCTCAAACAATCCACCTGCCTCGGCCTCCCAGAGAGCTAGGATTACAGGCGTGAGCCACCGCTCCTGGCCGTACCCACTATTCTTAAACCCCTTTTATGTGAAATGTTTGGAATGGACTTGGGGGCAAACAGAATACAGGGCTTTAAAAAGGAACCCAAAGCTGAATGGTCAAGAAAACAACCCAATCACGGGAACATTACAGACAAAGCTACTGAAGTTCCCCCTAAGGGGTGATGGGGGTGACCACTCCCTTTCAGTGATGGAGAAGAAGTGAGAGGAAAGGAAAGGGCCTGGGGAAGTCTTTCTCTCATGAGAGAAGGTGAATGGCCTGGCAGGTTACTTTTGGATTTGCCGTGGGTGCCCTGGAACAAGCAGGGCTGGGCCATCTCAGCTGTCTATGACTCAGAGGGGAGTACACTGTAGGCAAGAAGCCCTCAGCAAGCAGGGAGGGGAGAAGAGTAGGAGCAAGAAAGGCAGGGTTATGTGAAAGAGAGAGAACACACGAGAGCAAGTGAGTGCACTGATCTAGCATCTGGACAGAAAGGCTGCAATGTAAGCTTATCATGGAAGGTATTATAGCAGAGTACAGGCTCCTGAGTCAGAAATTCAACTGCCTAGTTCAAACCTGTGCTCCACTACTTACCAATTACCTTCTCTAAGCCTCGATTTTCTCAGCTATAAAATGGGGATAATAGTACCTATTTCACTGGGTTGATATGGAGAGTAAATGAGATAATTGATTAGAAGCATTTAGCATAGTGCTTGACAATAATAGAATAAAATAAATGTTGGCAACGTAGAACTTACTATTGTCATTGGCTTGTCCTTTCTAAGACTAGCAGAAAGTGAGAGCAGAAGGAGCAAGGCCGGAAAGGTACACACTCTGTCTAGGAACAAATGGACTTAGTGGCCACACACAGGAGCTGACGGGGTTGCCTAGATGACCTGTGCCCTCCCTGCCAGCTGTGGGGTCTTCAACTCATCAGCTTTTCTCTAATATGAAGGGGCCAGCTGTAGGGGCCACTTTTTTGACTGTTTTCAACTTTGTGGTCATTACCCTCTTGATGTCTTTCCCCGTAATATATTGCTTTGCCAATTCCAAACCCAGAAGACTCTGGTACGGTGGAAAGAGCAAGAGTTTTGGAGTCGGGTAGATGGGTCAAAATCTTTCTTTAGCTGCATACTAGCTATGTGGGCTTGTTTAAGCTGCTTAGCTTCTCAGAGCCTTAGTTCCCTTCTCGGTGAACAGTTTAATGCCTCCCTTGCGGGAGTCTGGTAAGGATTAAATGTGTAAAAGAGCTAGCACAGTGCCTGGCTCCTGGACACCTAATAAATGGTGCCTTCTTTTCCCCTACTAATAGCCCATCAGCAACTGAACTTTTTGGATCATTTGTATAACCACTTGGCAAGTATTAAACATGCAGAATTCTAGAATGTCAGAGCAGGCAAGACTCAAAGATTGATGAATCTGATTACTCTTCTCAGTAATCCTATTAATGAGGATCCTGGACGCATGGTTTCTCCATGCCTGTTCCCTTCTCCTGATTACTGGGAGTCAGGGAGGTGCAGTTTGCATTGGGGTGGGATGCCTGGAGGTCCAAACATATTCCCTGGGGAGGCGTCACTATGTGTGTCATTCTTCAACAGCAAGAGCAAAGAAACATTTCGCCCAATTTGAGAGCTATTTTGGGATATTGTAAGGTGCCTGTAGTGACTTGAGACATCCCAAATACCTGCTGCTTGAAGCCTCCTTTTCTGTCAGAGCAGCCTTCACTACATTTACTCCAAGTGGCTGCTGACAATTGTATTCAGTGGGTTTTTCCTTTAGCAGTGGCTTTCAAGTTCCTGCATGCATCAGAATCGCCTGGTAGTCTTGTTAAAACACAGAATGCTGAGCCCCAATCACAGAGTTTCTGAGGTATTGAATCTGAAGTGAGGCCCAAGAATTCCTATTTCTTATCAATTCACAGGCCATGCTGCTCCTGCTGGTCTGGGAACTCCACCTTGAGAACCACTGCCCTACAGAGTTTTATTTTCTTTTGTTTTTATTCAAGACAGAAAAGCAAGCAACAAGAATTCATAAAACCCACAGAGCAATCCCAACGTACCCTCTGACATTTCTCCCTCATCGGGTGAGACAGAGAAAGCTACCATGCCACCAGTCCTCTTTTTTTTAAGACTATTTTTTTTCAAGAAGTTTTAGGGTCACAGCAAAATTGAGAGGAAGGTACAGACATTTCCCTTATGCCCTCCGCCCCCCACACTTGCATAGCCTCCCCCATTATCGACATGCCCTACGGGAGGGATATATATGTTGCAACTGATGAACCTGCATTGACACATCATCACCCAAACCCATCCTTTACATTAGGGTTCACTCATTGTACATTCTATGAATTTGAACAACTATACAATGACATTTATCCATTATTGTACCATACAGAGTAGTTTCACTGCTCTCAAAATCCTCTGTGCTCTGCCTATTCATCCTTCCTCACTCTCAACCCCCGGCAACCACTGATCTTTTACTCTCTCTACAGTTTCGCCTTTTCCAGAATGTCACAAAGTTGGAATCATACAGTGTGTATGATTTTTAGATTGCACCAGCTCTTTTTAAAATTTCAAGTCTAATATTAGCTTCCTCCCATGACAGAGGGTTAGAAGAGTCCAGGTCTCCCGACTGCAATTCTGAGCTGTTAGTGTGAACTGAGCTGTGTCACTTTCCTTCTTACGGTCAATGGTCCGTCCTTAGATCACCACCAGGACTCCGTCTCATTTCTGCTATCCCTGCATCTAGGAAATTCCCAACACATAGTCATCCCTTCTTTTAGGACAATTTTTCTTTTTCATTTTCTTGGAAGAATGGCTTGGAGTAGTGGTTTTCAAGCTGACTTGAAGAGCCCCAAGTGGCTTTCAGGGAGTAAAGCGATTCCAAGCTGTGGGCCTTTGGGCTGACTCCCAACTTGGATCAGAGCCCTTCTAATTTTTGGTTTAACTTTCTGACTTTGTGGAAGATACCTCTGAAGGAAGGAGTTACTGCTTAACACACAAATATTATTTACTATTTATTACATGCCAGACATTGGAATGTTTTTAAAAATTGAAAACTGAAGCTTTAGAGTAGTGTCTGCTGTCCATCTGGCTACATCAGAATTATCTCAGGAGACTGCCCCAGAATCTGAATATTTAAGATTCTCAGGTAATCCTGATGATCAGTTTAGTTTGAAAGTCACCAGGTGAAACCCATGTTTCTCAAACTTGTCTAATGGTATAAATCACCTGGTATAAATTGTTAAAAATATGGATTCCCAGGACTCACTGAATCATTCTCTTAGGAGAATGCCCTCCAAATTCACATTTTTAAAGGGATGTCCTGCCCTCAGCTCCCATAAATAATCCAAAGGGCCTGGGAGGCCCGCTCTGGAGCAGGCTGTGTGTGGCCGTTTTTTATACTTGCACAATTTTGTAGGCTTCATAGCTAGGCAGATGCTACACTTGGTTGTGACACAGGCAGTTTAGCTGTTGCTATATGATTCCTGGTACACTTCAGAGAGCTTCCTTAACCCCACTGATCCTTTGTGCATTTAAACTTTGAGCCCCAGTTATAGGAATCAGCTTCCAAAAGTGGCCCCCGTTCCTTCCACATGCCCCTTCCACCTGACAGTACTTGATCTGGATTTCTGAACTGGCAAAGCAAGAAAGAGGAGACTGGAAAAAAGCCCTCTGCCCATATGGTCACCCCAAAAGTACTAGAGTTCTTCACAAGGAAGCTCTATTAGGAAACATACCAGATATGACAAGAAAACAAGCTGGACAAGACTGGTTACATAAGGCAGATTTCTGGTCATAACATTATTTAGAATCTTGACAGTAAGTAACTTGGTCAGCACACTGATGGGGAGGCCCCAACTGCTTTTTTTTGCATTAATCTTATTTGGATGAAGACATAGAAACATTATTCCAGACAAAACACTCAAAGATGTATGGCCATTTGGAGTTGGTGTCCTTGATCCTATTGGGACCCAAACCTGTGCCCCAGGTTTATCGCCCCAGTGCATTCTCTCTGGCCTGGCACTGAAGGAGCCACTCTGACTCATTCGGACTAGCCCTGAGGACTAGCCCTGAGGAACACGCTTCCCCTCCCAGCCTGCAGTGAGGCTCCTCAGAGACGGCAGTGTGGCGTAGTGTATCGTTCATGGGCTTTGCATAGTGACAGGCCTGAGCTAGAGCTGGGCTTGGGTTTCCTTGCTAGTTGACTCTGGACATGTTAATTAACCTCCTGGAACTAGTTTTTCCATCCATACATGGGGAGGAATGATCCCAGTTCCATGGGGTTGAGATCACATGTAATAAAATGTCTCGCCTATAATTTATATTACATCTCTTGCTTTGGGACCTTTCTTAGGAAAAAATTTCCAATTTGGTCCTGTCAAATAAAGCTCCTAGTGGCTTCTGCAATTTTGCAATCACGTCCTTTTCCACTCTCCTGCATCAGAGTGGAGTTATATTGATAGTTCTAGGTCCCTGGACATCGTACTCTTGACTGCAACTTAGTTCTCTCTGTCCTTTCTGGGTTCATGTGGCAATATATACATTAGCTAGCTGCTTGGGAAGCAGGCTGGTTCTATGGTTTAACAAAGCTTGCTTCTTCACCCAGTGCTCCTGGGTAGTATCTGTGGCTGAGCTGCTGGGTGTCAGGCTCCACACTTCCCCGGCTCCTGGACATAACAAACCAGATCTTTCCAACCACCAGAAACAGACTTCCTCTGCGCTCTTTGTGCAGAGAAGAGATGAGTGATATACCCTAACCTACGCCTTCCTGTGCTTAATCATTGCTCTCGGCTCTCTTTACTGGCTCACTGCTTCAGAGAAAACCTTCTCCCTGTCTCTTCCCAGAATGAGTCTTCAGGGTATCATCACTACTCTTCTATTTTTTAAAAAAAGTATCCTGTTAAACAGTGACAATTACAGAAATGCTTTCATCTGTGGGAGAGAGGAGTCATCTAACAAGCATCTCTGTGTTTCCTCTCTCTTAATCTCAGTATTCCCTGTGCCCTCCCCTTCCATCTGCTGCCCAAAGACTCCATTCTTCACCAGCCCAGCTGTTCCTTGAGTCTGGGCATTCTCCACTGAGAGCATTTCATCTCTGTGTCCATCAACCAACCCCACAGGGCCTCGGACCCAGGCGATCACCACTCTGGTTAACGAGGGAGGTGGGGGCAGATGAGAGGGGCGAGGGAAGGATCTGCTCGCCCAGCTGTCTCTCTCTTTTCTTTGAATAAATGGATATCCTGAACTGGACTTCCTCTGAAGGCCTTAATTGTTTACTTTATTACAGTTCATACTCCATTCTCACTTTCCATCTGCCTTTCCCCTGTAATTCTGTATTCCCCGGTGACTGAGCCACAGCAGCCAGGCCAGAGAAACTGCAGATGGTTCACCAGGTCTAGAGAGAGACTTTAATATTTGCCCTTAACTTTCACAGATCCCATCAAGCTGAATGCTGCCGTCCTTTTTAACCCTGTGGCTTGTAGCATTTGTACTCCACACTGATGCCTTTGATCTGGTTCCAAATTGCAGGCTACCTGCACAGTAGCATCTTTCTCGGTCCAGGACATGCCAGTCCACTGGAAGGAGGAAAGGAGAAACGATGGGAGGGGTGGGCTGACTTGCAGGGCCCAGTTGTGTTCCCTGTGGGTTAAGGGTCACTGGCTTCTCAGGTAACAATGCCCCCCATCCTGCTGTGCCGGGGCCACACCATGCATCTCTCTCCCTTGCCCTCCTCGCTCTCACGCACAAGCCAGTGAATTTATTGTCTCCATTTAGCTCCTTTCAAGCAGCACATAATAAGGGGCCTGTCACTTGTGTCACACTGAGTGCTTTCGGTGTCAATTTGCTGTTCTTCATTTGCCAGGCCTCTGGCCAAAGAGCCAAGTGAATATGCAATTTGATGCACATGGATGATTTTAGACCCTTTTAACCCAGATAAAGTAAAAAAGAGAAGCCACCTGGGGTTTGGCACAGAATTTTTCCAGCCCACCAACTTCTCTCCGGTTTCCTTTTCTCTTTCCGGTCCTCAGGACAGTCCTTTCCTACAGACCTCCAAGCCAGCAAATCCGCATGACCTCCCTTTACCGCAGGTTGCAGAACCCACCAAGGCAAAGTCCTCTACTTAGGGCAGGGACTTATCTATATTTGAGCTGCCAAGTGTTTGGAATATTTTATTCATACAGCAACTATGAATGGATTAGAAACTGGGTGTCTCTGGTATGTAGCATATAGAGAATAATTAACCAGGTTATCTTTCATTCCTTTCGGAGAAGTTTGGGGATGTTGTCTTAGGGCCACTTTGGCAAGTGTTTGATAGCACCTCCCCTTGAACGTGGTCACCCGCAGCCTTCCACCAGAACTTCCCTCCTGGGTGTCCAGCTGTCTTCTCCCAGAACTCCTTGGCTCCGGCATGCACTTGGCTTCAATATCTTTGTTGGCTTCCAGGGAAGGACATGGCAGCCGTGCAGAGGACCCTGATGGCTCTAGGCAGTGTTGCAGTCACCAAGGATGATGGTTGTTATCGGGGAGAGCCATCCTGGTTTCACAGGTAAAAGTCCTTTCCCTTCCTCCTGCACCAGAAGACGATCTTAACCAGAGGGATGGTTTGAAGCCTTGGAGCTCCACAGAGGCTATTTATGTACAGAGTCCCTCCTGGCTTCACAATTGAGTCCCCCAAAACAAGGAAAGACTGATGCTACCGTTTAGGTCAACGTCCCTCCCAGGGCAGAAATGGTTGGGCCTTTCCTACTGGATACCTGGATCCTCCAGCTCTGCCCAGGTTCTGTTTCTCCTAAGGCTCAGTAGCACTGGATGGTCTCTCTGGGAGGTGGCTTGATATCTGAACTTGGTTTTATCATGACCCAAGCGCAGCTCAGTCTTCCTTCCCTCCTCCCTCCCTTCCTTCCTTCTTTCCTTCCTTTCTTTCTTTCTTTTCTTCTTTCTTTTTTTGTTTGCCCTTAATGAAGGGTAAATGCGTCCTGTTTGCCTGGCACAGTGCTGGTTAATACCTGTTTTCCCAGTTTATTTATTAATAACACCCTCTTTCAGTCTCATAAGTATCCTGGTCTGGATGATAAATTATATGGTTATCTCAGTAAAGGGCTTTTTCCTAAAGTGATTTTTTTTTTTTTTGCAAGGTACGAGGGAGAGGCAGGAAGCTTAAACTAGATATCTTAGTGGTAGATGAAGAGAAAAGAACACTTTATAACAGATAATTAATTATTCATTTCCCTAATCCCCTTTTTCTTCTCCTTGACTATTATAAAAAGGTACCAGCTTGTGTCATTTTAAATCAACTTGATCTGAAAACCTCCTACATATTGGCCAGGTGAAATCTGGTTTTAGTCCCAGTATTATTAGCAACTTACCATGTTCTATATGGCTGCAAAACCAAAATTATTTTCTATCTGATTCTTTACCAAAGTTTGCTGACCTATAATCTAGAGGAGGCGATTTCTCCTCATTAACTCCTAGATCCCTCAGCTCTAAAATGGAACATTAATCCTTGGCCCTATACAGCGAAGGGTGGAATGGGATTAATGACATGCTTTGCAAAAAGAGCTGATTTTATTTTTCACAAGGGTTGGGGTAACTGTGAGAGAAAGGACAATAAGAAGCAAACTGATCTGGCCTAAAGTGGTGGGGGAAGAGGGAGAGTGGGGAAGAAAACTGAGAGTGAGTTCCCCAGAGAGGTAGCCATTGGTATGTTCTCTTTGCTGGAAATTCTGGAAAACATCTCGGGTTCTAAGGGATAAAAAGCTCATGCATCATGGTAGGGCCATGGCTCAGGGTAGGGACGGTTGTTCTATTTGGTGACTGTCCCCCACCCCCACCCCCACCCCAGTAGAGCCTGTCTGACTGCATAACTTGAGAAGGGTTGGAAAACTGTCATAATGACATCATTCCATCTCACTCCCCATCCAGGAAAGCCCAGCAGAATCGGAGAGGATTTTCCGAGGAGCAGCTTCGCCAGGGACAGAGTGTGATAGGCCTGCAGATGGGTAGCAACAAGGGCGCCTCCCAGGCAGGCATGACCGGGTATGGGACGCCCAGGCAGATCATGTAAGGCACCGCATCCCTCCCCAGCAAGAGAGGACAAGTGTTCCACACCATGGTCTCTATGAAAAATAAATAGTTAGTCACCTCTGACCTTCTCTTTCTCAAAGCCTCCTGTCCCTGGTTTTTGCAAGTGCTGCATTTCTGCTGAGAATCCACGTTGCCTACGCTGCCACCTTCTGTTCATTTAGAACTATGCAAAGACTCCGCTTTCCTCTTCCTGAGCTCCTTCTGCCCTAAAGTCTCCGTTTGTGTGATTATTTATTTATTTATTTGCCAAAAATCCCCCTCCTTAACTTATAGAATGCACCTAATAAACAAATTAGTCTTGTGTCTTAAAGTGTAAAGTTCATTCTTTGTCTTAGGAACATTGCAGCCCAGGCTGGTTTCTCTCTCATTCAAAGGCCAGCAAGATGAAATTTAACTTAAACTGTAGCTGTGGAAATACAGGTTAACTATGAAGAAGCTCTTGCAAGATTATAATGCTTACCTTGGCATTGCAGTAAAAGATATAGGAATAGTTTTGCCCTGAGAGCCTAAAGCTATGAGTTCAAGAACAAGGTCATTGAGCCCCAAGTATTTTTTTGACTATGTACTTTGTGCTTATTATGCTAGACCTGTAGAGGGCATAGGAATGAGCAAAAGAAAGCACCAGTTCTTGAGGAGCTCTTATATAGGTGCCCAGAACTAGCTGATATGTGCACAAATGGGTGGATGGATGGTTTTGTTGAATGGATGGGTGGATATAGATGGTTGAATGAAAGAGCAGTTTTCACTTCTCTGCATCTTTCTCCTAGAAGCCAGACCCTGGGTCTGATGCTGACATTCATACAGTTTTTTTCATTAGCAAAGAGTCATAGGCAATGAAGCATGTTCTCCTAAAGTCATATAAAGGATCCAAACCCCTAAAACTCTTGAATATTGCCTGAGATCGAGGTCTGCCTAAGATAGATAGGTTTTCAAGATTTCTTTTCATGGATAGAAACATTAATAGGGTAAATAAGCCTGAGAACTATCAATTCATCTTATTCTTTCCTACCAGTAGAAATAAGAAAAAAAAAAGCGATACATCTAGTAAGAAAAGAAATAAAATCTTTTATTCATACACTCAATCATTAATTAACAAGAAAAGATAAAATGAATGAAACTATATTGAAGGAGGGCAAATTCTGAACAGCCGTTATTCGGAATTTAGAATAGAATAGACAACCCTGTGTCTCCTGCTAGTACACCTACTGTGCCATTAAAACCACTGGCTCGGGAGCCAACTGAGTAGGATTCTTCTGGGCCTCTGGTGCCCAATTTTTCTCTACGTGATGTTAATGTGCTGTAAATTGGAGAAATGGGAATTTGCATGTCAAAACAACTCTTTGTCAACATGTACACCCAACAAACAAAAGATAATTGCATATTTTTAAACATCACTCCTTTCTTCCATATATGATTAAGTCAAAATTGCCTTGTGTTGCAATAAGCCATTGTGACATAGTCCATAATAGATGGGTCTCTGATGCAATGCTCATTGGAAAGCACACAATGATTCCAGATATTGGTTTGTACCCGTTTTATTATGTTGCTACTTGTCAGTAATAACACAGATCTTAGTAATGTTTAGCATACTTAATTTATTGACGATCACTCTAGCTTCAAGGTATTTGTGCAATGGGCCAACATGATAACTTTCCCTTTTTTTAAAATTTCAAAATAGACATTTTCCCTTGATAAAACTTTATAAAATAGTCAAACAATTCAGGCAATGTGAATAACCCATTTAATTCCATGTTCCAGGATTACCACTCTCCACAGTTAGTACATTTTATTCAGGCATATTAAAATGCATATGTAATCAGCATAACACGTTTAGGATATCTTCATCTTTATGATCCGTTGGTGGTAAACTCGTTTCTCTCAGCTACAACCTATCCACCATTAAGGCTTCATAGAAGAGGGGAGGGTAAATATCTTCTCAGGAAGTAGGAAGATATGATTCATGGGTGTATCCCAACAAGATCAGAAGAGGAATCTGCTCCTTTCTACAAGAAAGTTCTTCTACATGGAAATGACTGAATGAATAATTTTTCACTGAAAATCCATTGAATGGATGTATCATCTTTCATTGAACTAATCTTTTATTGTTGGATTTTAGAATGTTTTCAAATTTCATCATTAAAATGAATGCTATAAGAAACATCCTTATAGATATATTTTTGCAATAATTACCTTAGGATAATTTCCTAGATGCTAAATAACCATTTTTTATTAGTACTGTCAAATTACCATCCACGCTACCTATGAATTGACAGCCTCACAGCCTTACTGCAATGTATATGTGGCCATTTCTCTAAACTCGCATTATTAGCATTATCATTTTCTAAAAATGCGAATATTGTGAAAGACATCATCTGCTTATTAGGATGTTAGTGTGACTTGGTGTCTTTCCTGGGCAGCTGCAGAGGGACTTTAGGATGGCTGGATATTTTGCCATAAATCTTAGCATTTCTCATTTCTGTCACAGAGCACATTAAATCTGTGAGCAATTCATACTTATTAATGATGATGAAGTAGACAGGGTTGCTAATGACAGAAGGGTTAGCTGGTAAAAATTATTGAAAAATATGGCACTAGAACAGAAATTATTATTTCCAGAATTCAACTTGAATGTCTTAGGCAAAAGAGCTAAAGCGAAACATGGTTAATTGATTCATCACTGGGCAAAATCAAAGATCTGATATGGCTGTGAGCCTATAATATATTCTCGAAATAAATATGTTGACTTTTATAGCCCTGAGCTGAGAAAGTAAAGCTATTTTGAAGGACAAGGATAAATCTCACTGTGGTTCAAATGAGTTTAGTGCAAATACTGTCCTACTGACCTTTATTTTATTGAAACAGATATTGAATGGCTTTCTGTAGGGTAAAGTTAAAGATCCATATGGTTTCACATTCTTGGATCAATAATTATTTGGGAAAACATCATATCAGTCTTATGATGGGATGAGCTCAGCTCACAGAGATTGCAAAATGCAAAATGAAAAACTCTGCTTGAGAAGAAATCCCATTTCAGAACAAACTAAAAAGAAAAATAAGGACCTACACGTATTTCACTCAAGAGATATTGTCTTAGTCCATTTGTGCTGATATAACAAAATACCATAGACTGGGTATCTTATAAATAATAAAAATTTATTTCTCAAAGTTCTGGAGGCTGAGAAGTCCAAGATCAAGGAAGCAGCAGATTTGGGGTCTGGTAAAGGCTTACTCTCTCTTTCCGAGATGGCACCTTGTTGCTGCCTCCTCCAGAGGCAATGAACTGAACATTGTGTCCTCACATGGCAGAAGAAATGGAAGCCCTAGGCAGCTCCCTGCAGCCTCTTTTGTAAGAGCGTTAATCCCATTCACAAAGGTACAGCCCTTACGGCCTAATCACTTCCCAAAGGCCCCACGTCTCAATACCATCACCTTGGGGTTTAAGTTCCAACATATGAGTTTTGGAGGGACACATATATTCAAACCACAACAGATATTTAGCACATACTAAGTGTCAGGGACTCTATGTAATCTATCTCCTTTAATGCTTATACCAACCCCGCAAGGTGAATATTTATACAGTTTTCCAGATAAGGAAAGTGAGGATTAGAGAAGTTAAAGGATTGTCCAGGGTCCCACAGCTAGTAAGAGGGAGAATCGGGATTTGAACTCCAAACATTATGATCCCAAAGCCTTATCAATTTCACTGTGCAATACCACCTTCTACATCCTAGACATAGTGCCGCGCTGTGGGGGATACACAAGTGATTAGCGCTTAATTTCTCCCCAGTAGGAACACACAGTGAAGAGCTCACCTGTTTGTAATTCAGGAAAGCACAGATATGTGCAGTTCTCTGGACCCAGCTCAAAAGATGTATTTAATTCTTTCCTGAGTTCAGAGCACCCTTGTGGATACAAATAACCGATATTCAAAGTAGCTTGTTTTATCTTTGCAAGTTTAACAAATGATTCTTGATCAGAATTATTCTCGCAAAGCTATGCAGATGTTATGTAAATATCTTTTTCTTTGGAATCTTTTAATTAGGGCCAGGATTAGGGTAAGACGAGTGAGGCATTCTGCTTGAACACAAAATCTGTGCGAACCAATCTGTAATATCCTCCTCTGTAGTAAAAGGAATAAGGATGGTAAAACTACGTCTTTGACAATGCTGTATTCATTACTTCATAGCAATTCATAGATGTTGCTAATTAATATTTAATTAAAACACCAGCCAAATTTACTGGGCACCTGCTCTATGTCAGGCGCCATGCTACTCTCAGGACGTTGTAAGGAACAGAGTCTCCATTGGCTCATGTAGTTGATCATAAAAAGAATCTGGAAGCAAAACCCCCAACTATGCAGCCATGCCTCACGATTTTGGATTACTGTGCAAAACAATGACTCTCATAGTCTGATACCAGCCCTATGGACAGATTCCATCATCCACTGGTTTACTAAAACACTAAGGCATTTTATCAGTGAGTCTGAAGAGTCTGTATCTCTGAGCAGGGAATTTGGCAGCTTGGCTAACTGTGGGCGGGCGCTATCAAGGACTTCTAGTGAAATTTAACTTCTGAAAGAAGTGCAAAAATACCATTTAAGATAAAACTCTTTCGGGTCCATTGGAGGAAATTGATGCACTGAATGACCACTTAGCAGAGACATCCACTCATATGCCCTTTATGCCTGAAGAGAAAGTGAGAGGATGCTGGCACACACCCTCGGGAAGTCAGAGGCGCTTGGCCTGTTGGGGAAGCTGTAAAATTCCACTGGAGGATCCTGCAGCCTGTTGCTAGGCCCATGCATTTAACCAATCGTATTTTAGAATTCTCAAATGAGATCAGCAACAGTGTGACAGCCAGGAGACCTCTAGCAAATAAACACCTATCTCAAATACCCTGAGGTTTTAGGTAAGCCTAATTAAATAGACATGCCAGTGGAAATGAATAAAAAATAATTTAGTAGCTAATGTTACACAAACCACACATAGACGTTGTATATATTGGCTGGAAGAAAACTGAACCTATGGTTGCAAATTGAAAGAAAAAACACTACTGTTCCAGCACTATATAACTTCTCATTAGAGTAGGAAACGTTGAAAAGCCAAAACCATTTTTAATAGGAAAGTTCTAATTCAATTCTGAAGTAATTCTATTTAGTGGGGAGGGGGTAGGATTTCTGTTTTACCACATCACTACTCTTTTTATTTGGATTTTAGCTCTGCTCCCAAGCCCCTGAGCTTTTGATAGACATTATCAGGACATATGCTCAGGCATTTCTCATTAGCCATTATTAAATTTTTATCAAGGCCA